CAGACTTGTGCTAAGTGGAAACAGCAGCAACTGGTGTGAGGATGTAGGTGGTAAGGTCAGCACTGATGGAATCAGTCGGCCAACTGCAGCACTATATAAGAAATAGACGTTTTATGCCTATTTTTCTAAAAGTCAGCCTGTTGTCCTGCTTATTTATTGTGACACCAACAGCTATAAAGTGTGCCTTCATCTAAAGAAAACTGAACTATAGTAGGTATGTGTATTGAATGAGCCTCAGTTACTCACAGCAGAGTTGTCAAGGAGGAAACCTTTATACACCTAGCAAAGACAAAAGTCTAAACTTTTTGTTTTAAAAAGTGAAGCATAGTGGGGAGATGCAATTGTTTGGGCTATGGAAAGAACACTACATGTTCCCTTCAGTGGAGGACAGGAGTTCATGTAGTACAACAACCTGTGCACAAGGTACCTAGTTAAGGAAATCAAATTGAGAATAGATGGTAAGATGTAATTCCTCAGGTGAAAGGAAGCAAGCTAAGACTGTATGGTTATCGAGCAAAATTCTTAGAGTTAACTTAGTAATAAACAAAGATGTAAGGGGATACACATCAGTCTCTTTCCTTGGGATGTAAAATACAAGTACTGGATACGTCTACCAGTAGAGACGTCTACTGCGCTAAGGGTGCAGTAGACTGATTCTACTGTGTATTAGCACAGCTGGCAAAAACCATGGTAATGTGCAAATGCACAGTAGAATTAGTCTGCTGTACATTAGCATCATGAAAAAAGCATGCACTGGTGCTACTGCGCAATAGCACTGATTACGGAGCATCAAGTTTAGTACCTATACTTACTACAGGTACACCGATACATCGGTCCGATATTGGATTAGCACCGATATAAAGAAAATGGACTGCTTTGGAAATTGGCCTGATGGGGCTGATAATTTGGCTGATAAATGCCCATGCATGTGTGCAGCCACAGCACAGCGCACAGGCAGCGAGGAGCACAGCCTGGCAGCTTGGAGAGTTGCGTGCAGCTGGTAAGTCTACTGTGTTGGAAGAGGAGAGGGAAGGGAAAGGGTGTAGGGGGAGCAGATCAAGGCCCCCAATGGTGAGGGAGGGAGTGGGGCTGGGGCAGCTGCTGCCCAGCTGGGGCAGGCTGGGGCGTGGGACAGAGCCAAGGCTTGTCTGGAGGGTGTGGGGAGTGGGGGTGGCTCCCACCGCTGCACGCACCGTAGGAGGGCACGGGGAGGTGGGGCGTGTGAGTCCGGATTTGTGCAGGGTGCAGGAGGGGTGGGCTGTCACTGCAGGCTGGGGCTGCACCAGACTCTTCATGTTATCATGGGGGGTGGGAGGGGTTGGGCTGGGGCTATGCTCGGGGCAGGTGGTGGTGGCACTGGGAGAGGAAGGTATGGGGGGGGTACAGCGAATTTTGGGGTGGCTGGCGGCCCCC